TTTGAAGTGGGGCTGTTTGGTTTAAGAACCCTCTCGGATGTGAAGATGGATTCAAATATTGGAATTTCACCATGATCATGTACTAAACTGGCTAGAAATAAAATCAATGAGTGTATCAACCATAGTATGATTATGAGAATTAAATATCAAATACCCACACTACAAGAACCCAAAGACTTATCTTGGCTCAACCAAAGGTATTCGTCCATGAATAAGGAGATAGGCAAATTCAGTAAACAATGATGATTAGAACATTTGATGTTGTGAAAATACCAGTACCCGAAACCACACCAGTAAGGAAGCAAACAAGTTCACTAAGAAATGATGATATACTATTTGATGGTAAGAAAATACCGACATCTCGAAACCATGTCATAGATGGGCCTTTCTTCTCTTGTTCTCTCTACACCAAAGAGCAACACTGAAAAGAGATCTTACTTGTTTGAAGCTTTTTCTTTTTGCCTTCCTTTTTTTAAGAGTATCTCTCTCTCTCTTGGCTTCTTTTTCTCAAAAGGAGTTTTCTCTCTCTGTTTCTATAGGATGATTTCTCTCTCTTGGTTTCCTTAATCAAAAAGCACTTTCTCCCTCTTGATTTTCTTTACCAAGAGGCATTTTTTCTCTCTTGGTTTTTCATATGATGACCTAACTAAGGCACAAATTCATTTCTTGAAGTCCTAGCTTGTCCCCAAGAGACCCATAATAGGGAGGATATTAATTCCCTAAAAGATTAGGATTTACATCTCCATAAAATAGAAAACAATATCAATGAAGTCTATAAAAAAAGGAATGAGCATAATCGTGTATATTCTTCTTTTACTCCAATAAATCTTCATTTAGGATAGGACCTCTCTTGGGACGGTGATTTTGGTGTCACTTAACCTCAATAGGTCGCTAGGTTGGAGAGGTGAAATCTCCAAAATTTGAGGATTGAGAAAGACTCTTTCAATTTGTTTTCTAATCGAGGGAGCAAATGGACAGCATGCTCCTGAGGGAGCATAAATACTTTGATACTATTTATCATTATTGTTAACCAGTACCAGGTTTATGGTTCCTCTACTGCAAGGCATATGACCCGATTTCTCGATAAAGCAATTA